AAAGTGTTCTGAGATGCACATGAAAGATAATAGGCCACATTGTTTTCTACTTTAGAATGAGCTATGCGTAAAAAGTTTTTAAAAAAAGCAGGGGCTGGCCAAACAGATTCATCATCAAGAGTGATCCAAAAACACTGTCAGGATGTTTCTGAACGTATCTTTGAGAAACATTGACAAGTTAAAGTACATGCAATTTACACAGAACTCTTTAACAGTGTCACCTATTGTCAGGCAGAAAATTACTTGCGCTTAAACTTCCATGTATGACCTCTGACTTCGATCTCTGTGATTATTTTTGTGTGATTTTCAGCCCTCTTTCATGATGTTGAATACTTGAAAAATTAATATAAAATTCATTCTTTTTTTGGTTAAGTTGAAGAGATTCAGTCCTTTTGTTCTCTCACTCATTTTGTTCAGTAATGCAGCAATCAAGGTTTTTTGAGGGAACTGGAGCCATCTACACTGAACTTTTCAGATTTGTTGTCATTTACGACATTATGTAATATACATGTACAGTATAGTGTAGGTAAGTGATATTTACAGGATCTTAGAGTACTCAGTGACTGCTCACTTAAAGGTAATGTTCGTTCTTAAGCAATATGTGCCTTGCTCACAACCCAAAATTAAAAGCACCTTTGGCGTTGTCAAGCCATCAGATGTCTAAGATCAAACACATCATCTCAGTCTCATAGCCTTTAAAGTAATGAATGAAAGGAAAATTTATGATCTAAGGACTCAGGTGTCAAGATGTGGAACACTTTCAGTAGTATTTACAGCACCTCAAGAGGGCAAAATTATGTGAACACTTCACAGCATCCCTGGTCAACACTTTAATGCTTTCTGTAAAGATACTTTTACCAAAGTACGTTTCACAAGGAAAAACAAGGCCTCAGTGATGAATCTGAAAAGTGTCAAAATTAACAGATTCCCGGTGTTAGAGCTCTTAGATACTGTACAGTACAATGTATAGAAGAAGGGCACTGGGGGGAATCCATTTCCAACAACTTGAGTTTTAATAAAAATACACTTTTGTGCTTTTCTTTGGTTCAATTGCAATTACAAAATTACAGGACATACAGTACAGTACAGACTCTTCAGAAATAACTGAGGAAATTGCTTTCTCATGCAAAACTCCAGTTCTAAACACCGAATCAAAATGGCTGCATTAAATTAGGTAATTTTATAGTAAGCAAAGGTAATTCAATAGGCATCTCTTACTATGTCTACCCTGCTGTTTTATACTTTTATTGTTCCCAGAATGTCCATTGTGTGTACATTAAGTGCACCCATACTGTTAAGGAAATTGAGGTTTTACAGTCCATCAAAACAGATTGAAAGCATCTGCAGTATTTCCCTTGTTAAAGGGCAGTATTCCAGGGGCATTTCATCAGATTCCCCATTAACATCACACTGAGCATTGGAAATAGTTGACCAAGATATACAACATTTCCACATAGAAAAAAAAAACTTAATGCAAATTTTCTGTCGTGTGTGTAGTTTTGCTGAACAGGTTTATTTTTCCAGGCAAAAATTCCAATAGTCGGTTTACCCTTTTTTAACTTGTGCTGTAGCAATGAATATACTGCAGAAGTAATATATTTCCTGCACACGGCACATACCCACACAATAGAATTAAATTCTAATCTATATCCCCCCCCCATACTTCAATTTCAGTTGTAATGCTGTACAAGTTTATAGTTTCACAAATTAGATGCAAATCAGTCAACGAAGCAAGAAAGCGTTGCATTGAACTTCACGGGATTGTGATCAAGATCTGACCCTGTATTTAGAAGTGTGAGTCCTTCCATTTGTCTTCATATTAGTGTGTACCACAGGGAGGCCCCTTGAGCATCAGGCCATTTTCCTAATTGAAGTTATGCCCTTCTGTGCTGGTTGTTTAATAATTGCCTTTCATGAATTGACCAGACCACATGGTGATGGCTGGAAATATACACTAAATAAGGCACAAATCCAAAATGATCCTCACTTCAACCAGAATGATAGAAGACAAGTTGTGCTTAACTGAAGCCATCAGCACTCAGAAACCAACTCAGAGTAAATAAATATTTGCTTCAAAAATATATGATACAGCCCATTATTTTATTTAATTTGTATTTCTCTATTCTTTCCTCTTCAGGGCACTGTTATAAAGTTATGCTAATCTTCTAGGGTACTTCACTTCTACAGTACAGTATATGCAAGCCATAAAAGTGACTCATGAAAGCTGGAGTGTGGCCTCCTGAAAGGGTCAGACATAAAGGGTAGTTGCTCTGAGCACAGGTAGTCGTATAGTCCAGTCTTCACCAGCAGTGAACTGCAAGAGCCCACCAATGGTGACCTCACTTTTTGATCTGAATGGAATGCATTCTGAACACAAAAGTGTAATTCTAGAAAAGAATGTTTAATGTTTATTTTAAGCACTAATGTGAACATTATTTTTGTATAAAGATAAAGAAAGTTTTTGTGGAGGAGGTATTTCATTTGTGTCATCCTTAATCAGAGTCTGTTTTTCTGTAATGAAGAAGATGTCATTCAAGTATGTATTAGCTCGATCACCTCGGCGTGGTACAGTATGTTCAAAGTCAAGATCAGATTTAGAATTTTTTAAGTATTATAAACAATGGATTGTAATGTTTTTGCAATATTCTCTAGCTCTAGACAATCAATTGTATTTTTTGCACAATCACACAAAATGACTCTAAATCAAATGATTCGACACCAAATATCAAATATTTATCATAATTGAAAGTTTGATTCAAAATAGACCCTGTCCAACACACAATGTATTATATCAGTAATTTTGGAGAATACTTAAATACACCATGTTATTTCAAGAAATGTATTATGTATGAAGTTATTTGTTTAAACTGAGGAAATAGAATATATTGATCCATGTATTAGAATTATAGCGTAATGGCAGTACCGAAGATATGAGAAGGTTCAAGCAATGTTTTGTTGAATGTTTCCCTGTCTGTGACTTATGTATTATAAAATGAAGACCTACAGAGTTATATATAGAAGAATGCATGCTGCTGCTACAGATCTACCATTATCTATTAGATGACAATACTGTTGGTATTTTAAATGGCACTGTGTGGGATGTTGTGTGCTTTCTTAGCAGGTAAGCTATAATTCAGATCATACTTTGTCATTATCATTTTCTTGTGTACACTGAACTGCTAATAGACTTCAGTTCACATGCCTATAACATTTTTGCAGCTCATTCGATGGGGCTGATATACTCAACTTTACATTCAATAGTCCAGTCAGATTCTAAGAAATGTACTGTAAAACAGAGATGAAATGGATTAAGGTTTGTTGGTGTAACTCGCCTGGCTAAGGGAATTGCAGCCAAACCATAAGGCTTAGTAAAACCCCTGAGGAATGAGCTAGGAAGCCGCTGCAAGGGTGAAGATGGAGGCGTGGGAGGGGTGTGCAAAGGGAAGCTCAGCGGGCAATACAGTATATATATTTAGGAGAGCAGAACTGGGCGAGGTTAGGATCTGACCCTCCTTGAGAATTTCTGTTAAAAACTCTTTCCCTAGCAATAGAAGCTTCACCTCGAATGAATCAGTGGCACTTATAGAACTGACAGCACTAATCTTGCACTTGCTGTACCTGAATCCTTAGGCTATAAGTAGCTGGAGGTTTAGGAAAGTACATTGGGGATTTTGGAAGTTAAATCCTAATTAGTATTTCAAAATGCAATGCCGAACATTTGATGTGACATGCAGGCATGCATGCAAAAATATGCCAGAGTCTGTCCTGGTGCTCATTAACTCAGTGCCTCCCAATCTACACTATTACTTTTCAATAAGTGCTCAGCAGGCCCATCTGTTTCAGGTCTAGGTAGGACAAATTCTTGGCTATTTTAAGAGAAATCTAATTATTGTGCATGTTTCTTAATTAATTGCGTGAATCACTTGTGTATTGGAAATATCAGAATTAATCATTTTTTGTCCTTAATTTTTATGAAGAGTTCAAGGCTAAAGTCAACTAATCTTGCCAGTCCACCAATCATTTCAAAACTTTGAAAAGTGCACAATGATGTCTTCAAACTTGACCTCTAGTATGAACTCGACTACACTTGACTTCAGAATAGGGAGCTGTTCTGGATATAGAATATGGAGGGAAAACATGCACAGCCTATAGTATTTTCCGTTTGAAAAATATCTACATAATTGAAGAAGACAGAACATAGACTTCAGCAAAAATGCAAACAGAAATTAAATTACATTTGCATGTACCAAGCATCAGGAAGATACTCCCTTAATCAATATGAAGTATGTCTTGCTTCCTAGTATTTGTCAGTTATTGGCAACATTATGTGAATGACAAATGAGAACATGTACTGTATTGTATGCACTCTCTATTTTCTGACCTTTAACATTTCTCCAAATTGTCTTCTCTTGTCTCTCTCTGGTTCATAAAAAAGTCAAATTTTGCATGTGATACTAATCACATTACACAAAAGTGTAGAATCCAAGCCAAAGTCACTCGATAACCTTATGTATTATGTTTTTGTAAGGCACGCTGTCTGACGGCAGCACAGAACGTGTTGTTAGCCTTCACTGCAAAGAGCAGCATAAGAATAAAAGTCACTGTTTAATTGTCTGAATATTATTAAATGCTACGTTATTAAATTAATTTCCTTGGGGCCAGTCACATGAACAAATGAACCTGTGACATACGAAATCCAGAAACTTTGATGCCATCTCATGGAAGTTGCAGCATGATTGTATTAATTTCTGTGTGTCGGCTGAAATAAAAAATCAGATTTTTTATTTTGAATTCAAACGCTACTTCATTTTACAAGAAAGAATGAACACCTTAAAGGTTAAGCTGTTGCCACTGCATTCTAGCTCACAATAAGCCTTCTTTAATGGAGAACCCAGTGCCATGGAAGCAGCTAATCCTGTGACAAACTTGTGAGTGATGCTCAGAACTGCGCACTCAAAATGCAAATGAGCTTAATTTTCTCTGCGCCTTTAAGGACTTACCTTTTGTCGTATTTCTTCTTCCATTTTCACTGGGGAGCCTAGCTCTGCCACCTGTTTCACACCTTCACTTGCATATCCCCCGTACTCCCACAGGACATAGTTCTTCGAATGGGATGCCCCGATGATAGCAGACCAATGGTTAGCGCGTCCTTTTCAGGGGAACAAAAAAAATATGTTTTATATGAACCATTGTTAGATGAAAACTGGCAAATGAGCTGATGACAAACGAGCAAGTATGACATAGTGTGCACTTATTTGTTAAATAGGTACAGTAAGAGTTCCCAATGAGTGTGGGGCTTTGTAGAGGACATTAGAAGTTTCAAGAGTTTAGAAGATCCAATATTTCTCTCACATGTATATAACAAGCTGATAGTGAGATCCATGCAGAAAATATATGGGAAGAAAGTTCACTCCTGACATTAAATTCTAATTCAATAATCTGGGAAAACATAAAAGCTTTCTAGCTCAATTTTGTTGACTTACTGTACTACATGAAAACTGCAAGCTACTGTATTTCCTAGAGCAACCTTTGATTTGAAACAGTTTTCCTTCGCTTACAAAATAGCCATTCTGTTTTACTTATTATCTTTATTTCGCTTTTTTGGAAACAGAAATAAATTCTGTGCTTATTTTTTTATATGCATGCAGACAGAACATCTTTTCAGTTCTAAGTTTCACAACGTCTTCAACAAAACACCGTAAACAGCATCTACATCATCTTAAAGTCTACCATGGGTCAAAAATTCCAAAAAAGCAACATTGACGTCCTACAAAAAACAGTATCCTTGTGGTACCCAGTGCAGGCAATAAAATAATGACTCTCCTTGACAGTTGTATTGGATAGACAAGCCTGCCAGGAAAACTCAAGGAAAGAGCGATCAGTCTCAGACCTGACATGCAACCTGGCGTTGTTTTCTGGCCAGCACACGAAATCAATGGAAAATTCCAATTCCATTAGCAAATAAACCTGTTATGACTAGTAATTTATAGTAAGTCATTGGCAAAGGATCTAAAACAAAATATGGCCTCATAAAAAAGACTAACATCATCCATGGATAATGTTAGGAAGCATTTTCTTCTGGCATTTTACATTTAATTCAAATTTATTGTTTTATGTGTATGGAATAAAAACATCCTTAAACATGCACTGGCATCAATAAACAATCTGAAACAGTGCATTTGGTAATGCTATACAAACTCTGTATAAAATGCTTCTATTCTATCATTTTCTTAAGTTCTCTTAGAGGGAAAATCACACAACATAGTGTAATGTTTGAACGTATTTTTTCAGAAATCATACCATCTGTGTATTTAATATTAAAAAATGAATGTAATTAAGATGTATCAAAAGACTTATCAAATGGAAAAAATAAATCCTGAATTTATTCTACGGCCAAAAAGAACTATTTTCTGCTATATTTTACTCAAAGATATGTCTTGTTTGTTTATTTTTAAACTAGAACAGCACACAATTTCTGTGTAATTTTTTTATGCAAATATAAAAATAGATCTAGCTAGAGAAAAATACTTTTTTTCCTTCCATCATTCTTAGTAATGATTTTTGTAATATATTGATTTTGTTTCAGTGAGCAATTCAATATGATGCTGTGCATAACTTTCACCTGCAGGAATACAAGAATTGATTAAAATTCTACAACATTGCCACATTACAACATCGATAGAATTCACATTTACTTTGACATCAGTGTTAGGTTTTTAAGCAAATGAACTTTATAATTAGTTTTGGATCTAAAGTCCTTAATAGGTTATTCTGCCAGCAACAGTTTTCAGCCGATATCTGAAGCAAACTAAATCAGGGATTCATAAATACCTATAAATACTGTAAAATATTTGTTTTATTATTTATATAAAAGTATCTAATATTTTATTGCTATACTGTACAGTAGGTCAATAATCCTGTTAAGGCAGTTAGGTCTGAGCAATAGCTTTAAAAGGCTAACACCAGGTACTGTATGCACACATGTGATGGTGTTCTCAGCAGACCTGCCATTTCATTATTTTCCCATTTGTCAAACTCTTTTATGATAACAGACACAGGGTGGCCTCACAGCTCTAGGATCTTGGGTTCAGCTCTGGAAAACATGCTGGTTAAGTTAATTGGTGTCTCTCAAATTGTCCCTGTGTGTGTGCATCCTGTGACAGATTGGCATCCAACCCAGGGTATAATCGTATCTTGTGCCTATTGTTACTGGATATGGCTCCAGGAGATTTGACAAGATCCTTTCGACAAATAAGTAGCCTTCTGATAATAGCTGAACAGTTACAATGAACATACAGTATGCTAAAAAAATCATAAAAATCTTTTTTTTGCTGGATGAACATCTACCAGTTTAAACCAGTACATAAGGGTATCATTTTCCAGTACAGTAGTTGTTTCTTTTTTGCCAAAATGACTTCCTTTCTCAGTAGTTTTTTTCAGTTCTTTTTTTACATTATATCAAGATTTAAAATGATGCATAGTACTCTTTTTAATGGATTTCTCCATCTGTGTGCCACTGTAAAGGATTGAGAATTTATAATGATATTAAGTTTATATGCTGTAAAGTAGTGCTTCTAAAAGCACCTCAAAGCACTTTACAGGACTGTAAACAAAATCATTAACAAAGATAGGAAATAGCAAAATTAGCACAAAGAAATACAAGGGATTAGAGATGTAGTTGAAAATGTAGGAGCAGACACAGACACCAATTATATAAAACCCTTTCTGAAGAAGATGGTTTTGAGTGTGGATTTGATTGCACACAGGGTAGGTGACTCTCTGATATTATTGGGGATAACATTCCAGGGCTTTGGGCCATAGCAAGAGAATGCCCTGTCACCCATAGAGTGTTAGTGAGTGTTAACCATAGAGTGTTACTCTATGTCACCCATAGAGTGTAAGTGAGCTTGGGGGACAAACAGGAGACTAGAAACAGGTGAACAAAGATTACGAGGTGAGGAGTAGAAAGATAATAAGTCAAATAGCTGCAGACGCGTCAAGCCAAGTAAAGCCTTAAAGGTGAGCATGAGGATTTTAAAGTTGACATGAAACCTGACAGGAAGCCAGTGCAAGAACTTCAGGACAGGAGTAATCTGATTACTTGCATGTGACCTCGTCAGGATAATGGCTGCCAAATTCCAGACATACTGATGTTCATTTTGTGTGGATTTAGATACCCCAGAAAGTAGGGCATTGCAGTAATCAATTCTGGAAAAGACAAATGTGTTGATGAGCTTTTCTACTACAGTCAGGGCCAACACAGGACATAGTTTGGCAATATTTCTGAGATAGAAGAATAATGTTTTTACAGTAGTTTGCACCTTCTTCGGGTGTGGCTCTCTAGCCGAATCGTTGTGTTTTCTTTCTTCTCTTTTCAGCATGGAATAAACCTATTACTTGTTCCAAGTGGGAACATGTACAGTAAATGGTAGGGCTTAGTATTAAGCCTTGAGGAATACAAGACTTAAGGAACCCAACATCAGAACCGAAACCCCCAAAAAAGACAAAGGGTTGTTGATTAATAAAATAAAAGTTGAACCATTTAAGAGCAGTGTCAGTAACTCCAAAAACAGCCTCAAGAGCAGAAAGTAAGATGGCATGATTCACAGTGTCATAATCAAGAATGAGGTCAAGGAGAATAAGGAAAGATAGAGAATCAGCAGTCACAAGAAGATCAATATTAACTTTAACAAGGACAGTTTCAGTGCTGTGTAATTGCCAGAGCTATATTTGTTTTTTTAGGCACAGGAGTAACTGAACCCATTTTATAGGCTGTTGGAACCATTGCTCAGGTGCTCCAGGACAAGAATGTATTATGTTGAGGAGGACAGGGCAGAGGGTAGAAAAACAGGACTGAAATAAAACAGTAGAAATGGGATCTAATAAACAGGAGGTGGTTTTCATAAGCGATACCAGTTTACAAAAGTATGCAGTGCCAGGTTGAGAGTTGAGAATTCAACATCATAGAACATGGTGGCTCTAGGGGACTGAACACCTATAAAACTCACAATAGCAGTACAGGCAGTACAGGAGGCATTAATGGAGAAATTTATTTTTGACCATCTAACTCTGTACCCTCCTCCCCAAGACGGCTACCAAAACCCAACCCAATCCCATATCAGCATGTGTTACTATCCAACACCAATAATCAACTAAATATCATCAAGTGTGTCTATTTACAAACAACAAAGGCCTTTGACAGGCCCTAGTGCCAGGTCAGCTTGTATTACAGTCCCTTCCAAGACTGTCCTGCCACATAAACATGTTTTTTCTCCTGATGCTGGATTAACACATGATGATATAGATTTATGACACAACTACCAATACTTGAAGATGCCTCAGTCAGTCCACTATATCATGGGTAGATTATATCTTCTAGTGTCCTTCATCTCTAAACCAGATACTGTAAGACCTTGCATGCCTAGGGACTTTAATAGCAGAACTGGTGCAACAACATCTGATTGAGGACTGCTAGAACTTACTTAAAACAGGAAGGATTTGTTATGCGGTAAAACAATATTTAATGACATTGATTAAACTAATTAAGCACTGATCAGTGAAAATTCCCATGTTTAAAATAGATCAAAATACAACAAATTTAGTAATGGTTGCATAGTTTGACCATAAAAAGGCCTTACTCCCTCTACATAAAGATCTCTGAATCTATTTTAGAATTCACTATCTGCATGGTATACCTCTGTCATATACCCATTCTTTGTATTTTAGCCCTTAAGCCCATAAATTATGTGTAAAATCCTTTTTTCAGTCTATCTTATACTGAGATTCCATGCCAATCATTATATTGATCAAAATGTGGTTGTTTGCCTTCAGCTTAATGCAGCCATTATCCCTGGGCTTAATTTATAGCTATTAAAGCAGTTTCAAGGTTATCTGTATAACAGACTAGTGGTGTATATATATGAAAACATTAGCAACTCAAGACTTACTGGGATAGTCTTTAGGATGCACCTTTTCTGACCAGTTTCCATAAAAAGTAACTCTGTATTTAGCAGTTCCACAGGCACAGCACTCAAGGATAGGTTTTTCAGTAGTTCCCTCTGACAGTGGCTCTGAAACAAAACAGATTCTTTGTTACTAGAACAAAAGCAGGACTGAAGAATCATTCCTTTATGTTTCAATACTAGTACCCAGTACCAATTCTAATTATCATAATAGGAATCACCTTTTTCATTTTGTTTCTTTCACAGCCCTCTAATCTGGAATTAGCCCCCCTCCCCACTGTTAATTTGCTCCTCTACGCCACCAAGCAATGTGTACCAGCATAGGCAAGTTTACCATCATGCAAGCTTTCCTCAAAATTGTGTAGTAACCACATGCCATTTTTCACCCCAAATACTCCACTGCTCAACCTACAGAGGAGTAAGCATAAGCAGCCCCAGGTCTCCACAGAGATGGAGGCTCACCTGCTGTTGCTTGGCAGAATGAGGGTACCCTGGATGATTTAAAATGTAGTCAAATATTCCACACTTGTAGAACACCAGGTGTGGACTACTGACAAAGCTAAAATTGGAACCAGTCCAGATTATAGGGCTCAACTGGCTTCCAAAAAAAGGGCCTACGTGGATACAAACCACTAAAGAACGGTCCAAATTCAGTTACTGTACATGAAAAGATATTCCTTACACTGAGGCTACATTAAAAACTGGACTGGGGCAAAGCTACAAATCAGTGTTCTCCACTAAAATACAGGAGTCTTATTAACCATGATCACTGACAATCAAACATTAGAACAGAACATGTTTTTAATGTTCTTTTATACGTACAGTACATTGGAACACTGATAATTACTTGGTTGTAATTATCTCAGCAAAAACCAATAAGAAAATAATTTTTATGGTTTCTATTTTAATAATACAGTATATTGTGAAAAGTGGATTCACACAATTACATTAATGAAGTAAAACATTAATAAAGACGTACGGTACATAATGTTTGGTGTACAGGTTTTACATAGGCAGCAGATGGGGGCTCCTTCGGTCTGGTGGGACACTTTTATTTTTGTGTACACAGAGACAGATGAGAGGATTTATATGACAATGAAAAAGCTATACTCATCTGCCAATCTTAAATTACAAGCACAGTAATTCATGGGGAGTTTTTGCTTTAAAAAAGTGTTTTTCGTCTACCACAAGCATCTCGCTTAGCCATATGCCATCAAGTACAGTGCTTGTAAATTGTAGATGATGGGTGGGTTGAAGTACTGATCTAATCTGTCGATGCAAATGACTTGAAGCTGCACAGACATTAGTGTGTCATTCACAGTACATCTTGCTGACAAAACGTAAAGCTGTAATTGCAATTAAATCCTTAAAGCTTCACATTTTATATACAGTGGCTTTATACTACGCTACACTTTTCATTTTCTTTTCCTAGTAGATAGTAAAGAACATACCTTTCTCACACATTCTCTTTGTGAGAGAGCCTTCATCTTGGAAGTAGATAATCCTTTTTTGCACAATGCTTGCCCTGTGGAGGAGAATAGTTGCCATGAGAATTGCAATTATACCATATTTCATACTTTCAGTTAAACATAGTGCTGAATTTCATTAAGCTAGAACCTTCTAACACACAAAATGCTGGGATTCTCAAAAGCCATTTTTTTCTTACTGACTGCAATATACTACACAGCACAACAACCTTGTTCCCAAGCTGAGACTGCAAGCTAAAGAGATCAATTCAGTGACCTTTGGTGAAGAGCCACAGCTCTAGATTTTCTCTTAACGCCACCTGAGTGCCTGCCTACTTCATTCATTTCTAGACTGGAATGAAAGAAATGTAAGAAAAACACAAAAATAGGATGACACCACAGGACGGCTCAAAAAAAAAATCATCGATTGTGTTTGAATACAAAATTCTGAACCCTAGGGAAGATTCAAATGGATGGGAGGTCAGAATGCAGTCTAGCAGAAAAAAAAGATGTACAGACCACCTGTCTGTGTTAATCTTGAATGAAATTCAAATGAGTCAACTTTGAAATTTGTAAAGGGGCCTAAGGCAAAAGGAAGTACACAGCACATCCATCCTCCAGTCTGAGCCTGCAAAGGACCGCATGTACAGTATACTGTATATTGTCAGCTTGTGCTAGATTTTTTGTTTTTACATCAAATGCTCAGTACCTACGCCAAATTCCTTGTATTCATCACTACACTCTCTTCTGTTTTAATGCCACTAGACAGCCTGGTTTATATCGAGATTATTGGTTCCAATGAGAATATTTATGATCCTTTTGTTCTGGTCTAGGAGTCCATGGGCTTAGATGCTATTCCTCTACTGGCAGACAATACTGGTTCCCTAGGGAAAGGCCGCAAAGAAGCACATCTATTCAGAGCCTTCCACCTGACTAGAGAAAGCTCTTATCTTCTTCTTGTTCTCAAATTGAAATTCAACACTTCTCATGCTCAAAATAGAAGTATTCTAATTTTAATGTCATTGGGAAAAACTACTATTCAAACTCTTAATTGTTTAAGCTACATGATGTTTCATTTTCATATTAAAATCCTTAGTCTTTGCTGTTGTGTGAGCTTTCTGTTGTTGCAAAAATTGTTAATTTTGCAGAGCTGACACCATGTCGCTTTTAGGTACCAAACTAGTCTAAGGTGAAAACAAGTGGATGCATATATTAGCATACTAACAGTGTGTGCTTATTTGCATTAAGTGGAAAGTTTTTTGTGTTTTCTTTTTTTCTGTAAAATTCTTACATAGAAGAAGGCTCTTATCTTGAAGGATATCGGCCTGAATTAAATTCACATTTAGTACAATGTACAATGTGATAAACAATGTAATTGTATTTGCCCAAAACAATATAACAGAAAAACAACAGATCTGATTTTTTTCCTATCTGCTTTGCTCAATGTTGGGATTGTTACTGGAATTCGACTAAAAAGAAATAAAAACCTGATTTTTTAAAAAAAAAAAGATGCTGAAAAGGAAAATGCTCAAAAAGTTCAACTTGTTTCCATCTGTTTTAAGGTTTTTTTTCCCAGAAAGATTAACTTTCACACATTCCTAGCAGAAAAATTGAATTTAGGATTGATAATGTGCTTTCAGTAAAGTGAAGATGGAATTTTTACATAATTACTGTCACTGATTGTCTGGATTTGAGAAAAGCAGATGGAATCTTTGCAGTGTTCAGAAAAGTCACATTGAAATGAAATGAATGATACCTCAGACAATTAATCTGCTTGATAGGATTCATAAAAAAGCATGCTTGCATTCTTTTTTAAAGTTTTCCAAGCCAGTGTTTTTCTTTCAACAACAACACTAATAATAATTTTGCATGACTAATAGTGGTCTGCAATAGTCACAGCTGCAGATTGCTGGAATGGATTTTGGCCTCGGTCCTCAGTCTTAGTGAAGTTTCTTCACCAAGTACTGTGATTTCTCTCCACCTTCTAAAAAAATGCAACCTGACTATGCTAAAATATTCTTCTAATATGTGTCCGGTTGGTTGAACCGTCAACCCAACCAATGAGAGAGCAGTTGTTTGCTCTTTGTTCCACCTGATACCCTGTGCTTCCATACAAGATAGGTTCCAACATCCTGTGACCCTCACCAGGGTAGGCAAATTACTGATAATGGATGGATTACAAATATTTACTGTAAGTTTAAATTTCTGTTTGTCACTGGACATAAATAAAAAAGAAATATTTTCTTTTTCTAGCTTAAACTCACATATATTTACAGCTTCAGTGTTAAGCTACCAGTAAACAGTGCTCTCTAATGTTCTCTAATGCTGAACCCTTTGTGGTAAGCTACTGTACCTAAAGAAACATAAGAACACTTACATGACAGCAGGCCATTAAAAACATCTAGCTTGGTTTGTAGTTAGCTGCTAATTGAGCCAATGATCTGATCCAGTTGTTTCTTGAAGGAAGACAGGCTATTGGTTTGTTCTAAACTCCCATACCCCTTTCAGTAAATACTATAACTACCTTCTGTTATCAGTTTTAAATGCATTTCCACATACAGTAAATTTAACTTGTGTCCTCTGGAATGTCCATCCATGAAGTCATCTACTACATTGAATTTGGCAATGCCTTTGAGGATTTTAAAACTCTGTCTCAAAGTGCCAAACAGTTTCTAAAAGAAACCAAACGTTACTCATTTCGTTTATACTAGTTATCAGATCTGACACCACTGCATTAACTTCCTACTTGTAAATATGAAAAACACACTGGATGAAGCTGCCTGTGCCTACAGACATACTGTACACACTTGACGCAAACATATGGAAACCATTAAATGACTGTAAATGACACACGGTTTTCCACCTGCTTTATTCTGTTATACTTTTTAGTCTGTTCTGGTCGATTCACGCACAGGGAAAAACTGTTAAGCAAAGTTGGATTTGTAGACATACTGTAACAAGTACCCTGGTGTCCAAGAGGGAACTTTAATACATTTTGTTAAATTCTCTAGCGCTGAATCTTATATTTGAAGTTACCACAGACGAATTGTCTTTTTATATTAGTAACAAGAAAAACACATTAATGGAACTTAATGAAACCAAGAATTGTCTTGCATATAATTAAAATAATTAGATGTTGGGTTAACACAATTGGAAGACCAACAAAAGAAATAAGGGTAAAGAAAGAAGGCAGTAGAACTGGACTGCTGAGTACTCAATAGACAAAATATCTTACTTCACAGCATGTAATGTGGAGGGGATGACTGTCTAAACCTTTTTCCTATGGAGAACCGTATTTTTTGCTGGCAAGATGTGAAGATGTAAACCATAGCTTTCAGATATAATTTCTGGCACATAATATGGATACAGAGTTACCAGTATTAACTGGATATACGTTTACAAAAACAGTCAGTTTAATTTTTTATCTGTGTTAAGTATAATACAGTATATTGTATATACTTTTACTCACAGGAAACCTTAATATCTGCACAACGAAACTGAAAAGATAATGGCTGAAATGGGAAACATCCAAAAGTAAAATACAAATGTTTATCTTGACATGACAGTGACAGAACTATTGTACTTATAAAGAAAGGTTTTTGTTTCAAAATCAGAAATTAGCACAAAATTAGTAAATATGGTGTGTTAAATAATTAATAATTTGTTTACTTTGATTTTTTTTCTGGAGGACAAGCAGTTTCTTTGACATCATAACGATGTTAGGCTTTTCATAATACAACAGGCCCAGAGCTCAACTCTCAGTTTAACATACCTGAACCCCTCTCCCTTCTCTCCCATTTTTTTTAAATGTTGTTCTCCAAGAGGCTTTCATAATTTGTAATTTGTTCAAAATATCTGTTCATTGATGTGTACTAATGAAGCAGATGCGAAAGATCAAACAAATTCAACAAAGGATTCAGTTAACCCTGTGATTGTTTTATTTAAAAATATTTTTTTTTATGTATTTAAAAAGAACACAATCACTTTAAGTCACCCTTATGAATATTTTGTGAGTAACATTTTTTTTCTTCCCCCAGCAACGAGCATAAACTAGTACTGATCTGTAAATTCAGAAGCCTGATACTGGTAGGATTCCAAGAGTACTCCATTATGATTTTAATGATAAAAGTGCTAGATGATGAATCCTTAAGGAGATCCATACTTCAAAAATGCAAACATGGAACTCCAATCTGCATCCGTATTTCTCATAACTTAATGCACTTAAATTAATCTGCATTCAGTTTATTTTCATACATCTTGCTCTTCTGTACAGTAAATGAGCACCTTTGCTGTATAAATTATAAGTTATATTAATCTCTCTAATTTAGTGTTCCTCAGGCACTGAGTATGTTTGGATTGAAAAACATACACACACCCCTACACACCCACGCATATACTGTACACAGTCTTGCTATGAACAGTCTTATGAGGAAATGTCTCCAACGCCGACAGTTTTTCATAAAATGGATAAAATCTGAATATATGGTCCATAAGGGAATATATATACTGTACAAATCAAAAGTATTTTTTTTCTTTGTTAACTAGCACACATACAGTAATTCATACAGCACCTCCCCCGTAGTTAATCCAGGCTTTGAAAAATCCCATATACTAATTTTAATACATTGGTTAAAAACACTTGAGGAAGAGAATATCCCTGTGATTTTATTTTTGCCCTTACATTTCTTCTTTAATGTTTTCTGGCTTGTCAAGTTGATTAAATGTTTGTCTGATTTGAACAGTTTCCATTCTGAGGGTTTACGTATGTCCTATTTATCCACATTTAACCTAAAAAAAACTAGCAGAATTGGCTCCGCACACTCTTGCTAATTATGCCTAATCTTTTAGCAAGAGTTTATTGTTGGGTGGCTCTTAACCATAGTAGATTACAGATGTGTGGTAAAGACTGCTTTATACAAAGGGCCGTGGGAGTCAAGAATAAGATACCCAACCAGTGTTGAATGGTGATAACTTGACTATCTTCAAGAAACAACTCAATGAGATAATTTGCCAGCTCTTAAAATATAGTAATAATGCCCTTCCCATCCATTGGAACAATATGAATATACACCCAAATTCAAGGATGTTTTTTTCTAGCTCCTTTTTGTCTTTACTCTGCTATTTTCCATCTTATTGTAAAACAATTGCATGCTAGTTCTAAGACACACCTGTGCCAGACCACTGGAAGTCCTTTAATAAGAATTTGATTGTATTTCTTTCCAGCTTTTCACTGTTCACACAGCTAAAGGAAACGTATAGAGGCTAAGTATGCCTGCTGCCCTGTAATTAAACTTCCCATGTTTAGACACTCCTTTTTTCCACTTTGGAGGCAGAAAATATGTTTCCCACTCTGTCTCTCTGCAGTCTGAGTATGCAGTTTACCATTGTAGTAGAACAAAGAAAAACGAAAGCTGAGTTATACATGAACTAAATTACAGGAAATTATTTCATACTTGCTGCATGAGAACAAGAACTAAACAGCAGAATTATACATATGTCATTCTTTTAATACAATAACAGTTTCAATGTTTTTTTTTTCACAGTTAACATTATCTCAAACTATTCAAATGTTTGATGGTAATAGTAGTAGTTAAAATATTTTCAAAAATTTCCTTTAACATTTGATTGGAAAAATATAAATTAAAAGTTTAACCTTAGAAAATCACTGTTAATGCAGCAAGTGGGACAGGTTACTGCTAAAAGTCTCACAATGAGTGCCATTGAAAATATTTGTTATCCAATAGAAATAGATACAACAGATCAATACATACATAAGTTAAAACCAACAACTTACAAATGACTTTATCATTTAGCTGACTTAAATACTGCAGTCTTGCTTTCAAAGACTGAGGGGTCCAGCTGAATAGAAATTCTTTGTAGAACTGCTGAATTGGAGACAGCAAACTTGAGTTCAAACACAGCCAGATGGAGAGAAAGGAAGTTTGTCATTTGTCAGGACTCCCATCACTCATCTTGACAACCACATAATAATGTACATTAATAAAAATTCAAACCCTTTTCAAGCTGAAACCCACAATCTTTCACATATCATGACACCACAGGAAAGGTCTAAAATAACTAAAGGGAGAAAAGTGACAGCTGTATTGAGTGCTTTAATAATGCCAGAATTAAAAAGCAGTATAGGTCACAACCTCTTTGTGTATCTGAGCATTATATAGACAATGCTCGGTTCACTAACTGTTTTAAATATTTACAACTTTTAACACGAGATTTTAATATTCTTGCAAAAAATCGTTTAGATATTGAACAACGGTGGAATTTCACATTTCAGGTCTTTGTATTTAATTCATTATTTTCTATATCCTGCTACTTGTTTTCTTAAGGTATGAGGCAGTGTAAAACCCTATTAAGATATCAGAATGTTCAGATTAGCATTTAAACAGATTGACATCTGTACTCTTCACTGCAAAATCCTGTTGAATCTGCTCAGACTAGTAACTGTTGCTCAGCCCAGCTCCTGATAGTATATAAGATGACTGGAGAGTTACCTCCAGTACATTTTTCCACAGCAGACATTTACTTCTAGAGGGCTCCAGGATTATTGCACATTATAAAAGTGAGAAAACCAATACTGACGGATGGTTTTTCAACCCAATTGAATGCACGCAACATGTCAATCTCATATACATATATTATTTCTATCTCAACAAATAATAATGCAGATACTGTAGCAACCTCACTACAGTTATTTAAGAGCACCAAAGGAAGCATAAAAGTAAACTGCACATACAGTACTAAGACAATGAAGAGACCTCCTACAATATGTATGACAAAATATGATAAACCCTTTCTATAAAAATGAAAAAAATGGGGAATTTGAGAAAAAGTGAGAAAAGAAAATTAAAACTCTGTCTGCTGGACCTGCCACAATGATGGTTGACAATTAATTACATGGCTAGAATTGCAAGGACATCCTGAGAACAGAACTTAACTGCTGGCCTCAAGAGTAAAGAAACCAAAACGTGTACTGTATGTAGTTTAGTAAAATCCTAATCGGACAAACTCCTAGGACATATTTGTCTTTTAACAAAATATTGGGAGATACACATGACTAACAAGCTGCTGTACTCTAGAACGTCAGTGCACAATATACAGTAATTTATCCTCTGCTAACATCAAGTAAACCAACACACTTTTTGAAACTCACAGAAAGACACACAAAAGCAACCAACGCACATGCTGAAACACACCCACAGACAAATGTTATGCAAAGATACACAAAAACAACGTGCACACACACACATAAGTGATATGCAAAGACATACAGTACAAAAGAAGCATTTTCCCTCTACTCCCTTGTGCACTTTACTCTAGACCACTGTCATCACTGTCAATTCTGCCTTACTGTAGAGTGTTATTTCTTGCACTTCTTAAAAGGCACACTAATATCTGCCAGTTTCCAGGAATTGACAGAAAGACAATTCGACAGCTCTGCAATCAGAATAAAAAATAAAAAAATGAAATGGTCCCAACTATGATTGCCTACTTCAGAATGACACAGCCACTGCCAGCAGGGGGTGCTGTCCAGAAAACCTGTATCCTTGTCCTTCTCCTTGGAGTGCTTTCAGTAACTGCAGGGGGGCAGTTCGTCATAAATTGTGTGTCTTCCTCATCTATGATCTGCAAAATATAAAGAACCATAGAAAATAAAAAAAAAACTTTTACATGGCATGTGAATATAAAATGCATTGTTTATGTTCAAACGTCCTGGTGCATTTATTTTTTCTATTTTGTTTAAGCACTGTGGCTGAACTTAAAATACACAAAAATACTGGGGAAAATATAGCGCGTTTCATTTCACAATAATCCACTTCTTTTATGAAAAATATGATTCAATGAACTGAAAGTGAGTACATTCGTCTTCTCAAATGTTTATTGTTTTACATTTACACCAAAAATCTATATGTACTATAAGGTATATTTATGCATGTGTTCCTTGGTTCAACAATTGTAATAATTCATGGATATTAAGGAAGCAAATTGACAAGTTTCTATCTGAACCATAAACCTCCTGCAATCATTACCACCTTTGACATGGGCCAACAGTTTACTGTGATAGAATCAATATCATGTTTTACAGCCATACACTGGAAGATATATTTAAATTAAAACTTTATTAGAGCTGTGAATCTCACACATTAGTGCAGAGCAGAGAACGCCAATAGCAATTTATCAGCAAGACCTGTATTGGACCAAATCACTTTTTGCTACTCAAGATTTTTGTATCAGGTTGTACAAAGTGGAAGACTACAAATGGTACAAATGGGAATTAAAAAAACGAGGAAGCAATAAAAGAAAACAATAATGTTCATCCTATTTTTGATATGTCTTGTGAGCTTATTATCTTCCAATGACACAACAATAGGTTACAACTACAGTAATTATCTGAGGAAGGAAATAGACCTCTGAGGAAAACACTGGGGAAGAAATTGCAATGAAACCAGATTTCATTTTCCTTGTGCTCGGTTTTCAAAATATTGTTCAAAGACTTTTAGAGTTCCTCTTACATCATTTGTTTTTTCTTATTTTTGGAAAAGAAAAAGGTTTATTTCACATGACACAATCAGTCATTTGAATTTCCTTTTTTAGTACAGAGCCAAAGATTATTCACAAAGATTGTGTCTCGCAGCTATTTAAAAACAATTCTGTATTTAAACTTAATAAGTTCGCAATTACAAATGTTAAAACATTCCACCTGTGTGTTTTAGTTTTTTTAACATTATTTCTGTCATGTCAAAGGACACAGATTTGTTGTTGTTTTTTTGTGTGGTTTTTCAATTAAATAATCACAGTTTCCTGCTGTAATTGAAGTAGGGCCTTACCGAGAGAAAGCTTTTAGACTGAAGAAGGAAGAACAAATGATGAGACAGCCCACTAATTGTTTGGGTTCCTTTTATTTTTTGTGGATTTCAGAACTCAGAAGAGCATTAAGGAAATGTAAATTCTATAAAGTTGTTAAATGTTGCTTTTTGATTGGCAAGCTGAATACAGTATGCCAGTACAGTCAATAATTTATCTAATCCAGGAAAATAAGTCAATAGAATTTGTCATTTCTTAAGCAAATGAATACATCTAGCACAGAAATTCTCTTAACAAATATTGCAAAGTAGATATCCAGTAAATGCTATCTAAGAAAATACTGTAAATTTAAATGAATTGCCTAAATTCTTTAGTTCGGGGAATAAAATCATTTAGCCCCTTTTATTGTATATTTACTGTTAATTTAAATTAAACGACATGGATGTGACCCGGTTCTGAACTAGAGTGCTGTTTCCCAAAACACAAATAAACTTTAGCTTAAAATGAGGAGATTTTTAAAAATATCTTGGCCTCTTTCTCTATTCTAAATGCTCAAGGGATCATAGTAAAATACAGCTGTGATGAACACCAGTAATTCTTCCCCAGTAATCTCTGGCATTATCGAGCAAATGCCAGCTGCATCTACTCAACATTAAGATTCCATTTTAACCATCTTCAAGACTGTAAAAACAAAAATGTAAATCTGCACATTACTTGCATAAATGTTCTTTCTTCTGATTATTGCAAAAGAAAAAAAATCTCAATTAAGATCAGGATTCTTACAGGGCTTTTAACTATTCCCTTTACTCATGTCTTTTCTCACATCTCTCACAACCATAGCATTTCTTTTAACATTCATATTCACTTTCTATTCAATGAATGTAGTATTCTGCTATTTTCCCATTCATACAATTTATCAAACATAGTTATTTCCTGCATCTCTTTGTTGTCATAACAATATTTAATATTCATAAAAAAAGTTCAATATATGGTCTGTAAATAGGTCTGTAAATATGGTCTATATGGTCTCTAAATAGATACACATTGAGGGCGGAGCGGTGGCTCTGTGGCTCAGGATCGGCGCCTGTGACTGGAAGGTTGCCGGTTCAAATCCCACAGCTGGCAGAGGAATCCTACTCCATTGGGCCCCTGAGCAAGGCCCTTAACCCCAACTGCGCCGTACAATGGCTGACCCTGCGCTCTGACCCCAAGCTTCTCTCCCTGTCTGTGTGTCTGTGTCTCCATGGAGAAAAGCTGGGGTATGCGAAAAGACAAATTCCTAATGCAAGAAATTGTATAGGGCTAATAAAGAAACATTATTATTATAATAGATAGCATTTATCCAAATACACAGTGCAAAGAGTGAAGTGATACTACTGTATATTCGCAATGCAAAAGTGCTAACATTTAAATTAATTTAAGTATGTTAATATTCTACACTGAATGTGGATCCAAGAATTCAGTCTTCTTGTCATTAAACATATTCCAGCTGTGGTTCCCCAGTGGCACAGTCAGTGAAGATGTTCATTTGTAAAGCAGGATGGGTTTTCTGTTCCACATACTGCATGTTTGAAGCTGGGCTGAGCCATTAGCCATCTGTGGATGGGATGTTTTTGGTAGCAGTACACAGTGCCGCCAGGACTGGGTGAGGCTGTGAGCTCGCCAGAGTATGTCTGGTTTGTCAGAATAGAATGGCAGCCATTCATGTGGTTTTCCAAGCACCTGCAAGTGTGAAGCATTATGGGTGAGAGCACCATCTATCCTCGAGCCAATGTCTCAGCTCAGCCAATGGTGCTTCAACTCTCCTTGTGGGCACAAGACGTGCCTGCTGTCTTCATCTTTGCAGGTACAAAGGTTGTAACAGTGAGCCAAGTTAAAAAAAGAATTGACAAATACCAAGAAAAAAGGAGCAGTTAAAAACAAAAAAACTATTGCCAAGTCTGTTTTTTAATTATTTTTTTAAAGATTTCCAATCGAGACCAGGACCTCAGGACATCAGGACATATGAAAGGTTACAAATGAGAGGAGGGCACTCCTCTTCAATTACTGAGCATAAGGTAGGGCTACATTTACTCTTTTTCAAAACAGCTCTTGCAAAACTACTATCATATCAGCACTGAACGGCAGCCAAAACCAACAGAGAAAGGACAATAAATTTGGAGCATTTTTTCTTCCTTCTGGCATGCAAACATGACTAAAAAACATCACAAACAGCTCACAAGAAGCCCGAGTGGAGCAAGAAAAAACAGGAGGTCTCGATCAAGCAAGTGTTTATGTTCTAATAGCAGTTCTCTCCCAGGTGACACAGAAACACAGATGCTACAGCTCAGCTGCAAAAGGTTGTGGTGCTTTTTTTAAAACACTAAATTATTCAGTCGTAACTGAGAGGGATTTCTAATCCCTGGCAGCTGAAGGAATTTTGTTTCTCTTCAGTGATACCATCTGAATGCATGCTATCTGGATGCACAATAATCAGCACTGGATAGCATGATTAGAGAAGGAAATCACACCATTAGGGTGCTTAGAATGTGTTGAGGTCTGCTGCACTTTCAGCAAGATGTCTCCTACACAAAATTGCTTAGGCGCTAACAGCTTAAAATATTCAAGCCCACAGATAACATGTCAGAGTTTTAAACACAAACGTTAGAATTGAAAGTACAAGTCATTCTAAAATATTGTATTAAACACGGTCACCTAAGCCTGGTAAAAAGTATTACATTAACCAATAAGGCAATTAATGAGGTAGTTGATGGCAAAGTCATTACATTTGTATATGTTCCATAAGACAGAAATTGTTATTTTTGGATGTATTGACCTCTTAGGTCTAGCAGTCAATTCCTGTGGTTATTTATTTTTTCTTTTTTTCACCACTGACATTTAATTTAGACACAGACATGCCAGAATGAAATTAATTTTTCAAAGAAAACTCCAGAATGGTACTAAATATCAACAATGCAAAATTACAAAAAAGGACTGATGTGCACTTCAGACACCATCATGATACTATAGAGAAAATGAAAATACATGGTTTTTCATGCTGAGTTTCTGTTTCAATGAGAAAACCAAGGAAAGTTATGCAAAAAGCAGTTCAACCTAGATGAAGGTCATACTTTAACCCTTAGGGCTCAAGCCCAAACTAGTAGAAATGGAATGAACACTGCAATGTCTAGTAGAAAAAGAAAAAAGTGAAAGAAATCCCTTGTTCTGAAAGATATAGCTCAGAATGAACAAAGCAACACACTGGTCTTGGCAGTCTATCGTGACATTAAAAGGAAATGACATTATTTCACAATACAGTACATAGAGCTGGAAGCATCATTCTGCCAATTTTCTCACAAGGTTTCTGTTGCCTTAATCCTTTATTTAAAAAAGATGTCAATTGAGGACAGATTTTAATTAACAACGTTAATCTGAAGAGCACCCACTTATACAGCAGGGAATATAGTGTACTGGAGCCTTATGCTCCAATTTAGTGGTATTTTATCACAGAGCTCAACCTGTGCTCTGGGCAAGCTGCTCTGATGGTGTACCTACTCAGACTCAGTTACTCGTAATCAGCTTTGCCCACTGCTACAACTTATGTATCAGCATTGCAGAAAAAAAGAAAATACATTCAAGATCCAAACTCTGCGCTGATGACACACCAGCCTGAAAGCACCAAGACAGGACATTGAATGGAGGACAGATGCATTTAAGCATCCCACTAGGAATCACTCTTGTGTGTCAAGCTGGGGATGTTTTGGCACGTTCAAATCCAGTCACCCCTGGTGTTCCCTGGCTGTTAGTGCTATTTCTTGAGAAATTGAGGCCAGAGACAATTGACAGCTCCTTTCAAACTAACTTTTATAGATTACAGGACTTTAGCTGCCCTCCATACTACTGTCTTAGCTGGATCAACCACTTGAAAGTCATATGGTAAGTGTTTAACTGTGAAGTTCTGAATACTGCTCACAAATATATTAAATAATTGAAGGCAAACCACAAAAAATCTGCCAAACTATTTCACAAATGGTGCTTTTTACATAACCTTTTTGGAGCATTACAAACTATTTCAATGTCAAAACATTTCAGCCATCACTTTTTGCTGTGAAGCAAAAATAAAGCTTTACAGGTGATAGCTGAAGTCTTAACAAATCACTTACCATTAGTACTGAAGATGGCTTAAGGAGCTACACACAGGTTAATAGTTGAAGAGCACGCTTGACAGAATTGCTGACAGTTTTTTTGCTAAAGTGACATCAAGCACACATTACTATGCTCTAGGAACTTGACCTTTATTCTCTGTTACCTTGTCAGATTTCAAGTCATGTCTACCACAGAATGAAAATCATTACTCAAAGTAATTGCAGAAAATGGCAATCCAGAAAGGTATAGTCATGAATTGTGTAATTGTAATGTGTTATAATGACTCTTTAAGTACTATAGCCTCCCAATAAATTATAATACGGATCCTGCTTTGCCATATATTATGCTAACACAACCTGTGACCCTGAAGGAATCAACTGGATGTTTACCCACGACTCCACTTGAACTAGTATTGCAAAAGCATTTTGAATGCAAGAAGTTGATTGCTTTCCTTGGTTGATAGTAAAGGTTGTATTCTCCTACTGTAAATGGTGCATAGATTAAGACAAAGAAAGACAAGAGGGTAGTGGGTAAAATAAAACATGCTGATCGTAAGATAGAAAGCATTTTTGCCCAACTTAACATCAGCAGAGTATTTTAGTGGTATGTTGCAATCAAAAACTCAGAATTCTTTCAAGAAACAATTACAGTACATACAGTATATTGTATCTTCTGTGCAGGCAGCTTGCAAATGGTATATTTCAAGGGACTAAACACCCTCTCTTGACTACCAAACATTGTTTTGACAGAGGGAGATTTTTGTCTAAATCCAATCAAAATAATTGTGTGGTGACCATGACGTTTGCTTATTTATTCTTAATTTTATCTTCCAAAAGTTTTGATTCACAACAAAAGTGCCAGACAGAATTCATAAGAGATACTACAGGATGTGGAGGTATTTTCCCACTGCAGCTAGCACATATCTTCGGAGGTACTGTAAGGGTCGTTCAGCTAGGACTGAGCTCAGCCAAGCTTGTATTTTGAAATGCAAGATTTAGAGAAAAAATGGGCAAATTCACTCTTGTGCTACTTGATGTCTGTCACTGTGTTCAGAAGAGTTTGAAATGTAACAAGTAAGAACGTATTGGGAGATAATAGATATAAGAATTAAGGGAATGATACTGAAAGAAATCATACTCCCTTAAATCCCACATGAAAGAACGGAAAATATAGTTTGACAAAAGAGAAGCAGAGAAGCATTACTGTTGAAACCAAAACACAGTTTATGGAAATTATTTTTTTGTTCTTTCTTCTAAACTGAACAAATTCAATGCTGAAGCCTTCTCCTGCACAGCAGCAGATGGTGCAGACGCCCGCACAGCCAGGTGTGGCTGACGGCTTGCAGGCTGCTTTAGATATAAACAGTATGCACCTGGACGCAATGAAGTCAGCATTAACTGCAGCAAGATTTTTCTTGAAACCACATTGCACCCAGGTCTGTATAAAAATGCTAATTCCCAGCATGGACAAATAAGAAACACTGGAAAAAGAACCAAAGATCTGCAGTTTTATAAAATGCAAGTTTAAGGTTTTCATTTAAATAAAATAATGAAGATCCTCTTATAGCTTAACTTTACTGTAGTTTCCTTTCACACAATGCACTACCAGGCCCACTGCAGGAGTGCTATAGGAAATTGGAAAAATAGGGCATTTTTTATGCCAGTCATTGCCTTATAAAATACAGAAACACACATATCGTGTGGACAAGGTCAGCATCCCTGTCTGCCAGATTGCAGCTGAGAATCTTTATGAAGGAGAACCAGATTTTTTACTAGGTAACAGAGACATTTTCTACTAATTTCATAGAGATGGATTGAGAATAGCACGTGTTCAATGATGTTCATACCTAATGATAAGGCTGTGCCAAGGCCTCTTTTCATTGCATAGGCGAAATGAACTGGAGTTCCCGTCTCCATAATTTTAATAAGAAAGGCTCACTAATAAGACCACTCACACTGAGAGGCAAAAGTTCCATTTGGAAAGTCTAGTATTATGAAGTAGAAATTACAGTTCTCAGGCAGAGCAACAGTTGTGACTGTCAAATCACACCCCTGATTCCAAGAAGTCGTGGGATCACAACCTCACGGCTTGACCAGTCAGTGGATATAAACCTATTAAGCTTCAACAGGCTTTCCTAGGATGAACAGTGAAAAAACTGGAATCTTCAACACAAAGTACAGTATTACTACTGAACACTCATATTTTGCTATTGCTACAGATATTCCCAGAATAAACGCATGTATTGCCAGACATGGATATAAACAAAAAATATTTTCAACCTATATTTATATATATATAAATATTACTGTATTTATAAAAGATAATACACTGTTATTTTACATTAATCCATTTTCTTTTACAGCCAATTTTAGTAAATATTGAACAAGCCAACCTATCTTACCTGAAAATTTCCAGCATAATCCTCGTCTTTGTCACCATCTTTTCCCTCTTTCAAAGCAATGAGAGTAAAGCCTCTGAAGTAAGAAGGGCTGGATGCGTACAAAGTCACTAGAAATAGCAATTGAAGAAAGTCAGTGGAATATGGGTCATAGAGGGGAGCTCAACAAGCAAAAAACTGCAAGCAAAGCAAGTGAACTTGTTACTGTAGGTGCATTTCAAAAAAATAAAGGGGTGCTAAATATAGACAGCAGCATGGCTCCTTTAAAAGCTAATCTGTTAGAGGTTACTCATACAGTACTTCTCAATATTGAAAATGACATTTTACAATACTGACACAATGTAATTTGGTCATCAGTGTGGCGCTACAAACTGTGTTCTAATATCCAATTACAGTACTATGAATGAGCTCTATATGAAATACCATAATTAGAAATAGGATACATAAATAGAATCTCTTTTAGTCTGTTTTACACCATCATTCTTTTATTTATTTAGAACACCGGGCATGATTATATTTGATAAAATAGTTTTTTTTTCTGCAATACATCTGCTCAACTCTACTGTACTTGGGATAATTTCGTACACTTTGGTGCCCAGTTAGAGCTAACAGTTTGAGACATGTTTCTGAACATTGACAGACATGTACTGTATGTGCAGTGAAAATTAAAACAATTTGGTAGTTCATTGATCAAAATCATTGAAATAATAAAATAAATGGACATGTTTGTGTTTAGAAATAAGTTTAGTTTAGAAATAAGACAAACATTTTCTGTGGAAATACTGTATTCATATGCACATTCTTCTTTCTCTACTAAATCAACAGACGATTAAGCAAAGTTTTTTTCAGAATTCATCTATCAAACAATGTAGCCGTTTTCCCACATGATTTGTCCATTCGGTGCTGTTATAAACCAGGCAAATCACTTTACCTACAGTAGCAATGCAGTATTGCAATACTCTATTTTTTCTTCATTTGACTATGAAAAATAATTTGATGACAAGTACTAGGAACAGCAGTAGGAGCACATTCTAAAGTAAAACAGAACATATTCCAATATCCACCTTGTTGTCACTTCAATAAAATGATCAATTTTAAGATATGGCTGAAACCTGTACGACCTTTTTCGCAAAGTTTAACATTTTCACAATGGAAAGTCGCATCTGACAGGAGAAAACATTTAAGAAACATGAAAACATGCTCATTCTCCATGTCCGTAAAACATTTTCGAGGAGCATGAAAGGCTTCTCTAATACTTCAGAGACGGTTTGGTCATCGATTCTTGCGGGAAATACATACAAGAATCCTTACAAGATTTACAGTACCTTTGTTAAACCACATTTTTAGATTAAACTGTTGTCAGATTCCTACTTTTAGGATTGATGTGTATGAATGATGACTCAACAGTCTTGTGATTTGTACTCTGAACTTAATTCAAGTAATTAATTGTGTGTAGAACTTTAAATACATTTGCACAGTATATTCTTTTTTATCAGCTTTACTGTAGATAAAATAATCGGCACTTATTTAACCCATTACTCCCCCAAAGCTGAAAAAAAGTGTTAACGTTCTTCTATTACACCTGCACAAATCGGTTAGTTACTGTTCCCTCTGTTACTTTCACTATTTAACTCTGAGTACGAATAACAATAAAATGATTGTTTCATCACATTTCAGGATTAAACTTTTATACGCGAACACTTTTTAAGCAAGGTCAGGTCGTCTGAGTTCGAGGAATCTGTAAACGATACTCTGGAAATGAGTATTTTGCAATTTGATATGTTTTGGAGGGGTTTGTCTTGTGGTTAAACATGTTTTAAAAATAAATAATGTACAGTTTTAATATAATACCGTATCTTTCACAGAGACACTGTGTTACCATAAAGTAAAGGCTGAAAATGGCACTTTCCGAAACTGTCCTCCTCTGCTCTAAATGTAAGGTTTATACTTCTGATATCGACGCATCAATACAGTTTAACTTTTAGATCTAGATTACGCAATTAGGGAAAGACGCGCTTATTCCTCGCTTACATTATTTCGGACGGACGGACTTCATAGCCCACTAACAAAGTTTCTCTGGTTAATCAAAATTGTGTTTGCTTATAGAAGAAAGGTTAAATGTCCTGCTGCAACAGATTTCTTAAACTGTAATAGCCCATCACCCAGGTCTGAGATGTCGCCGAATGCAGTGGAAAAGGAAACTTGCAAAAACTTGGCCAACTTCAAATTATATACACCTAATAACAAGTAGCTATTTGTCAAATCACCATGGAACGACATACTTAACGTTGTGCTCCAGACCTCTTTTCTTTTGTATGTCTTTTGTAACACTAGGCATCTCAGTAAAGACAGTAAATGGCTAAGCATCCGAGTAACGGATTCAGAATAACACTTAGAAATGATTACATACCTCTATAGGTGCTTCCAGGTTGGTATAATTCAGGATCTCCTTCTACTCTCAGACGAAATTCGTTATAGCCTTCTCTTCTTGTACCCTGAGCCCTTAAAATCCTACTGCAATATCCGTCCGATTTCACTGTTTTATCTGCGGTTTCCTCGGAAAAAGCAAAAGCGTGTATCACAAAAGTCGAGATAAGACACTGCAAAAGCAGTATGTGCCGATGTATTCCCATCCTTGGTATTTTGTAGCAGCAATCTTTTCATGCAGTCAAGGGAAAAAAGCTTTAAAAAGACCTCCTCCCAACTCCCGAAATTGACAAAACTTGTCAATTTCACAGACCAGATTCACTTTGCATAAGAAAAGGCTGTATTCGCTGCTGATGGTAAACCCATCCTGGAATGAACGGACACAAAATCCGACCCCCCCCACCCGGCCCCCCCATTCCAGGAGAATTGTACTGATATGTTGGTGGAGAGCGTGTGATGATCAGCGACTCAGCAGTGTTTACTTAACAGAGTGCAATTCACAGGGTTCAGGGAAATAGCAAAGCGCAGGGTAACGCCGCTGTCTCCAAGACATCGAGTGAAGAACTGGACTGTACGTACTGAGCCAACAGACTTTAAACAAAACCCAGACATTCCTACCATTGGCTGCTGTGATTGAGAAGAACGTTTGACATTCTTGATTTGGGCTCTCAGCAAAAACCTGCTCGCGAATGTTTGCACAGCCGTGATTCACTACATCACCAGAGAAACAGATGTTTATCCTGTTTAATAATGCATATACTGTATAGTCTTCTTTTACATTTACATAAAGGTGCAATTCACCGTGCAATTCACGTTTGAAGTCGTCTAATGATTCTGAAGCGCTCTACAATACAGAGGCTTGAAATAATTACAAATGTAACATAAGTGAATAAGGAAAATTCTGCTAGATGTCTCCCCTTCTATTATTTTCTATGTGGAAGGTGGACAGAGTGATTTATGTTCCCACGCTTAAACATTTTGTAACTGTCCAAGTTTGCCTCTTTGTTTACCATTTTTAATTATTTACTTGACATAATGGGTGGTTTGAAACGTTTTTTTTTTAGTATACTGCACTGTATGTAAAAATCGAGAAATTTCTGTTAGACGAGTTCAAATAATTTTAGCAAACATTACTACTGTATGTACGTTGTAGCGCGCTGCTACGTGGCAATCTTTACATTATAAGAAAGAGAAAACCTTTAAGTTACTTATTGAATTGTTTTATTATAACTACCAGAGAACTTAGTGTTGCTTTAAAGGAAACTAGAAGTAATTTACTTCAATCATGGATCATTTTCTCGGTTCTTATATTTGGTCCCTAGCTTCGGTAGAGGTTAATAACCATGGTGGTGGCATGAGGTGTAATCTCAGAAGAGGTTTATGAGTTACAGATACAAAATTAGGTTTCAGGAGGTCACTGCAGGGGCTCTCTGTAAATTATAATACAAGCCTCTAAGAATTTTGAACAACTCAGAAGTGTTTCTTGCATTAAAGTTCTGGGAATGGAATAGAAAGAAAGCACTTTCTTGAAAACTTTGAAGATCAAAATTGTGAGGAGCAAAGTAAAAGATAAAACTGAAGCTACTGTACAGTATGTAATTGTATCTTTGTGACTGGCATTTTCTTATTTTACAATTAAGCTGTATCTTTCGGTTTATCCCTCTATCTGTTTATAAAAAAGAATATCCTGTATGTCCAGTCTACAATTTGTTCCTTCATCATGCTTTTATCCACAGCTAGCAATATTAAAGCATGCAGTCTTTCTAATTTGCCTTACTACTGCAAATGTTCATGTAGACTAGACAGTACAGAGGCTGCACAAGTTGTAGCTCAGCCCTGAAAGTGTTATTTTTTATCATTTCCCCTCCATTTACTGTATTTCTGTTAATGGATAATGCAAATAGTACTTTCCAAACCTGAAGAAGGCTCCACTGCCAAAACATTGTGTTTTCTTTCCTATTTTTTCAGCATGGAATAAACCTATTACTTGTTCCTTTCCAAATATTTGATTTGTTTCAAAGAAGACATTTAATCACCAGAAAAAAAATAGGACTGTAAACTGCTCCATATGTTGTATCTCTGACTTATTCAACAAAACTACAGTAAATTTATTCATCCAAGGTTCCACCAATTTTACACTGTTTAGCAGGGATATCAAATTTTGATCTTGGAGGGCTAGTTTGTCTGCAAGTTATCTAGGCTTCTTTAAAGCACCAGCACTTGAGAGGTTGTTAAAATGGTCCAGCTAAAGTAATAAGGAGCAGATGTACCTGTAGGTTGTTAAAAGCTGAGCTAGAATGGAAAAAGACTCACCAGCCCTCCAGGACCAGGACCAGACAATCACCGCAGTGAGGTTTACAGGTAATCTGCAGAGCATAAGGAATTGACAGTTTGCTTTCTCTCAAAACAAATTCAACAAGGGCCTTGTTCATATCAGTCACATAAACCACAAATTGTTAAGGCAGTTTCAAACTATGCAAAATCGGCTAAATAATCTTAGTGTCCATGTTATAGAGCGTTTCATACCATATATCTGTCCACTTCCAGCACAGTGTGGAACCAGATTAATCTGAATTTAGTCCAGTGTAGCCATGGCTGGGAATCTTATTGGTGGTACTCAGTAACTGAAAGTTTTACTGGTTTTGAATTTGGGTGGAGCTGACAGGGTGGGATACTTTTCTGGCCTCCCTGCATCAATTGCGAGTGACTAGAGGCCCTTAAGTCCAGGTGGAGATTCTTGTGGCTGACACTCGAGCTCTGCCTCTATGCAGTCCACACTGCTGTATAAAAAAGAAAGGAGAAGAGTCGATTGCCTTGATGAGTCGGCCTCAGAGGACACTGTGCTGTGTTTGTTTCAAGCTTCCCGAGGTCAGAAAGTGAGCGCAGTAGTAAGACAGATTGAATAACAATTGGATGGTAGAGAACTGGTATGAAACTTGTGAGGAAGAAAGTTAAAATGCTGAATTAAAATAAATATAAGAATGAAAACACGGACTAGGTGAAACCGTTGTTTTCATCCCTCCGTTTCTTGCCAGTTTAAAATCAAATTAAACCAAATTGACATAATAAATATGCCTAGTAGCAATGTTGTTTGTTTAACCTTGTCCTTTTTCTGAATGGGTTTAATGCCGAGCATATGATTAAAGACCCCTGTGAAGTGAACCGATTCCCACCATTTTCTGTGGTAGATAGAGACAGAATCTAAATAAATATTTACAAAGGTCACTGGCTGAAAGAAAAACCCGGCTTGTATAAGGTCTCAGAAGACTAGGTTCAAGAAGCGATTCTGTAAAAGTGAACATATCTCCGCAAGAAAAAAATTACATTATCATAAAGACGTTTGATAAAATCAGTCATAGCTGGGGAATGTAAAGTCTAATATATTCTCTTATATATGCTCTTGGGAGTTGTACAAAGAGTATTTCCTGTTCTGACAACAGTTCAGGCATCTTCATTATCTCACCATCATTTCTAGAAAAACAGAGGAGTGAAAAGAACTGATTTTTGTTATTGTGACTCTCAAGATCTTATCATACTGAGAGCTCTGCTGCCAGTAATGTCAGTCATATTCATCAATGAACAGTCAAAATAATTTACCTCACCTTCTACTTTTATACAAATTGAATGCATAGATTTTAATTGATATTGTAAGTGACTACAAACAGACAAAACTTCAGGAAAATAGTGAATAAATACAATTGTAACCACACAGAATGTGTTCAACATAGGAAACGCATTTCTAAAGTAATTGAATTAAATTAGCATAAGTGCATTTAAACTGTCCAAAATAAAATGTTTATTGCCATAATACCTTCCTGCATATTGCATAGAGTTAGTCTTCTGTAACAGTGACCATTGGATGTGTTGACGCTAATGTTTTTTAACTTATTAAAATTAGCAGTTAGTGTAGGTTAGCTTTGGGGCATATTGTAATAATATACTCTTGAATTATAGAATTAATTTTAGTGCAAAATATATAATCTCCTGAGGTTTCATTAGACTTCAAGGTTACTAGCATTTATTTCTCCCTTAGGACTATTTTGTCTTCAGAAGAAACGCGAAGGTATGAATCTATTATAACATACTGTACTGTAGTTTCCAAGAGTGCTTTTCAAAAGACTGCAACCAAAAGGTAGATGTTTTTAATATATGACTAAAGGCAATATGATAATTATTTTTAACAATAAGAAGACAGAAACAAGAGTAAGAACTTATGTTTTTTTTTAATAAAATAACATTATTTTCAATTTTTGATTATCTTTCATAAACTTACATTCATAATAATAAGAGAACTCATCCTCATAAACATTTTAATGGTCAGTTTTGATGGACAAAAATATTTTTGACATTTGGTACCTTCATGACTTTTACTGTAGATTGAATATTTCTTTTGGTTCAGAGAGAAACGTTTCTAAGCATGTACACGTTCTTATTTATAATCAAATACCAGACTGTAACAAAAATGTTAGCATTTTTCTAGCAAGTAAAATATGTAGTGTGTGCATTATTAAAGATGAACAAATGTGTTTTGCTTTTTAATACTCTTTAAGATGAAATAGTATAATTTTCATTTATCTTTTTAGAATTCTGAGAGAACAGTGGTTTTGTGTATTTGCTAAGAAATAACATAGGGTGGTGGCAGTAATGATTACTATAATGATATTGCCAAGAATTCAGTCTGCAAGCAACCCAAGAGCAGAGAAATTTCAAATCAGGAATGAATCGGTAAATACTGAAAATTTAAAATAAATAAATTGTTGAACTTACTTATTAGTCTTTGTCTGAGCAATCACATAGTTCTCTTCATTTCTCTTCAGTTCTCTTCTCTTCCAAACCTTCAAATTAATTGCATAAAAAGGACAGCAAAAGAGGTCTGCTGACATGATAAAACCCTTGCTAATGAGGGCAAACTGAAATGGAATTGTTAAAAAGTTTGAGAAGGATGACAACTGCCAAGTTCAACCTCAGCTGTCAGTAATTCGTAATCAACCCTGACATCATTTCTTCACCTAAAACATTAGTGTACTATACATAATGCGCTTTTGTCCTTTGCATAGGTCTTTTGCACCCCTCATCCACCACTAGTCCACCTTTGCAGCTGCCCCATGGTCACTCCTCACTCTGCATGAGGGGTCCCGTCTCCTTGTCCTATGGCCTGGAGGCCAGCCCTTGGCTGAGCAAGTAAAACCAGATTTACTGTGACTAAACCACTCAATAAATCTTTCAATTTGCTTATTTCTTGGGTGTTGTATTCCCTAGAAATTAGGTGTAATTGTTGTAGAGGCACAAATGTACAAATTAGAACAGAAGTCTGCTAATACTAGTCCCAGTAAAACTATTAACACTGAGCATTACACAAAATTCTAATATACTGTACTTTACGTATATTTTTAAGAACGGAGCACAACGTTCTGATGATAAGTGAGTGGCAATGTTGCTATAAATACTGAGGTACAGCACACCAGCAGGTGTCATGAGAGCTTTCCCTCACAGCTCTGCTACAGCACCTCAATACTCATTCTGTTGCTAATCTCTCATCCCCCCGTAGTGTAAGTGTGCTAAGCTGCAT